AAGTTAACCGCTATTCTTTGTTTCAGCTTACAACATATCCATCAAAGATGTTGGACACAAACTCCTGAGAGTGGATTTTATTTTATTTCTTCTTTTAAATTTTGTTTTAAGTTCACAGGTACATGTGCAGATTTGTTATATAGGTAAATGTGTGCCATGGAGTTTGGTGTACAGATTATTTCATCACCCAGGTAATAAGCCTAGTACTCAACAGGTATTTCTTCTGATCCTCTCCCTCCTCCTACCCTCCACCCTCAAGTAGGCCCCAGTGTCTGTTCTCCTGTTTCTGTCCATGTGTTCTTGCTATTTAGCTCCCTCTTAGAAGTCAGAACATGCAATATTTGGTTTTCTGTTCCTGGTTAGTTTGTTAAAGATAATGGTCTCCAGCTCCATCCATGTTGCTGCAAAGGACATGATCTCATTCTTTTTTTATGGCTGCATAGTATTCCATGGTGTTATATATATCATATTTTCTTTACACAGTCTACCATTTATGGGCATTTAGGCTGATTGCATGTCTTTGCAATTGTGAATAGTGTTGCAATGAACATATGTGTGCATGTGTTTTTATGGTAGACAATTTATTGTCCTTTGGGTTTATACCCAATAATGAGATTGCCAGGTCGAATGATAATTCTGTTTTAAGTTCTTTGAGGAATCACCACATTGCTTTCCACAGTGGCTGAACTAACTTACACTCCTGCCAGCAGTATATAAGTATTCTCTTTTCTCTGCAACCTTGCCAGCATCTGTTATTTTTTTATTCTTTAATAATAGCCATTCTGACTGGTCTAGATGATATCTCATTGTGGTTTTGATTTCCATTTATCTAATAATTAATGGTGCTGAACAGTTTTTCACATGCTTGTTCGCTGCATGTATATCTTCTTCTGAAGAGTGTCTGTTCATGTCTTTTACCCACTTTTTAATGGAGTTGTGTGTTTTTTTGCTTGTAAATTTGTTTAATTCCTTATAGATTCTGGATATTAGACCTCTGTCAAAAGTATAGTTTGCAAATTTTTTCTTTCATTTAATAGGTTGTCTATTTACTCTGTTGATAGTTTATTTTGCTGTGCAGAAGATTTTTAGTTTAATTAGATACCATTTGTCATATTTTGTTTTTGTAGCAATTGCTTTTGGCATCTTTGTCATGAAATCTTTGCTAGTTCTTATGTCCAGAATGGTATTTCCCAGGCTATCTTCCGGGTTTTTATAGTTTTAGGTTTTACATTTAAGTCTAATCCATCTTGAGTTAATTTTTATATGTGGTTTAAGGAAGGGGTTCAGTTTCAATCTTCTGAATATGGCTAGCCAGTTATCCCAGCACCATTTATTGAATAGGGACTCCTTTCTCCATTACTTGTTTTTGTCACCTTTGTCGAAGATCAGATAATTGTAGGTGTGTGGCATTATTTCTGGTCTCTCTATTATGTCTTATTGGTCTATGTGTCTGTTTTTGTAAAAGTACCATGCTGTTTTGGTTATTATAGTCCTGTGGTATAGTTGAAGTTGAATGATTTTTAAGAAGTTGTTCCATACACTCTTTATTGCTAAGAGTGCTCATTCAACTTTTGGTAAGCTATGCCATATAATTGTACATTAAAAGCTCCAAAAGTTTTATTAATTGTGACCTTGAGATGACCACAGCTATATTAAAAACTCACTTATTTTGTCAAATGAGAACCACATTGCCTGGGTAAAGCCTGTGATCTTTTTCTCTATGAGTATAATAAACATGGAAGAACTTTAGAATCTACAGATGACCCTTAGCAGTATGAGTCTCTTCTAACCAACCCTTCTAGAGACGTTGAATGAGCACCAGTATTTACTGATTTAAGTTTGGCTTCCTCTGACCCAAGCCTTCTAATGGAAGTACTAATTAGTATTAAGATAACCCAAAGCAAGATCAGCTTTTAAAGCCAAATACGGCATGAAATATTACATGTACCCAATTATTCATTTTAAGCGCAGGAAATAAAAGCCCACAGGTTAAGTAACTTGCCTGAAGTTACCTAGTAAGTTAACTAACAAATTATCAGAGCTACAGATAAAATAGGTAATATTAAAAGCAAAAAAGAAAAATTATTGAATTTACCATGATGTTTTTCTCTACTTCTATTATCAAAGATTATTTACTAAATTAAGACCTCCTGACTTATTTAGAATAATTATGACAAATACATTTGAAATTGGTTCCCTCACTTACTTTCTTTGTCCATGCTGGCCTCTTTTATTATCCTCAAAGATGCCAAACATGGTCCTGTCTCAAGGCCTTTGCACTTGCTGTTCCCTCTGCCTGGAATGACCATATGACTTGGCAGCAATTAAATATAAACATTCCTCCAGAAAGATTATGCTGCCCTTCAAAAACCAAGGCCTTGCTGTATGTTTTAGAATACTGCCCAAATTAGGGATCCTTCTTAGGTCAGGCTTGTTTAGCTTCTTTTTCATTATGAGAAAGTAATTGCAGAGTCCCAAAGGGCAATCACAGGCTGATGTGAAGTCTTATCTGCCTGGGCAGTCCAGGAGCCCCAGCAGGCATGGCTGACTTTGTCTCAGGGTGGCAAAAGGCATGGTCCCTCCTCTAGAGCCAAAGGCCCTGGTAATGGTCAGCAAACCCTCCAAGGGGAGAGAGGTATACTCAAGTCCTGGGTGACATCTAGGCACAGCTCTCCTCCCTCAGACCCATGAGATAGGTTTACTGGCATCCTCCAATCACATGCTTTACCTCATCTGCAACAGGTTTAACGGACGTATCCAATCCCAATTTTCTTGCCTCATTTGAGAAACTAAATGGTGAATACCTTTAAATTGTCTAGTAGAAAACAGCCAGCAAGCATGTTATCTGGACAAAGAAACTTGTCACAAGAATTTTGCGCATTTTGCAGGACTTTGCTTTTGTGTAAGATGTATAATATACCCTTTGGGAGGAGACACCGATCTCAGTGTGACTTCCTTAAGAATAACAGACACTGTCACAGTTTGTTAATCATGATTTGTCTCCCAGGAGAAGGAGAAGATTATTAATTACCCAGCAAAGGTCAGGGAGTCATCAGGCCCATAAACGGGGTTTACCTCAGAAAACTAACAGTGGGAGGTTGAGCAAAGCTACAAGTCATGCACGTGAAGGCTCTCCTCCCCGACCACAGCCTCCAGTTCCTGATATGCCTGCAGAGTGTCTGCAGTGGACACAGTCCAATTTCTAGACTTGCTTATGAATTTCGAAAACTTTGTATATACATAGATATCAACGTTTACAGGCAAACTGATTGAAAGGGTGTAATTTCTGGTGCCCTGCCTAACCACACAAATGCAGAGCTGGGTCAGCTTGCATCTGCAGCGCCGCAGTCCCTTCCGAATACACAACACTCCAAAGGAGATGGGAGACCTCCTACTTCGCCCTGCCCTCAGTGACAGCGTTTCTCATTTTCTTTGCCTTCTGCTTTCTGATCCACAAAGTAGAAGTGAGGGGAAAAAAAAAAACAAAAAAAAAACTTCACAAATTAATATACCATTGGGTTATGCTGCCACATAAATGGCTAATTGTAATACAGTGTGAGATAGGCTAAATTAGGAATATGAAGTGCCAGTGTAAAACAGATGAGGCAACCTGTCAGCCTGCCCAGGGAGAAGACCAGTCATGGAAGCTTTCCAGGGTTAGGCTTGGACCCTGAAGTAGGAATCAGGGTGTGCCATGCAAATACTTAAGAAGGAAGGCCGTCTCCATGGAGGAGACTGACAAGGCCAATGCCGTTGTGTTTGCCTGCAAAGCTGCAACACTGCTTCTCTTCTTGGGCTAGGAAACACCCAGCTGTTCCTTCACTGGTTTTGGAAGGCAGAGGCAAAAAGCAAAACAAAAACAGCAAGAACCACCAGAGCACACACCTCTCTAGGTCAAATCTCATTTCCCAATACCAGCAACAAAGTTGATACCTTTTCATTACCAGCCTCGGACTTAAACTCCACCCTCTCTCCAGAGTGGGAGTGGACCCAGATGAGCAACCCAATCGCATATTCTAGAATCTGGGCAGTAGCCCCCACTCAGTTCCATGTTTGATTTGGTTACGGAGGGATCCTCATTGAGCCAGTGGCATCAGGACCTCTGTTCCACAGCTGCTCTTTCAACAAGTCTATGTACCGCACACTCCTCCCCTAGAAGGACACCATCTGCCAGCAGGAGGAAACCTCTTTTCCTGCCACCATCTGCCCTGGTCCTCCTTCCCTGTCTCCGAGGCATCTGTGATCTTTCATGCCTGGCTCTCTAGCCTAGATAGTTCTAGAACACCAGAATATATTAAAACATTCATACACACACACAACTTCTTTCAACAGCATAAGAACCTAATGTTGACTTTTCTTGAGTTTTTTTATTTTTTTTATTTTATATATTTTTTTTAGCTCTCCTGATAATTTCTCGTGTATGGACACATTAAGATCATCATTCTGCACTAGTGATCACTATCCAAAAGTCAGGAGAAAAAAATCAGACTCTCAAAATCAAAACAATTTCAAGTAATGAAGGTTTTGAGTATAAAATATGTGTTTAAGGGATTTTGTTTAAAAATACACTTTGGCTGTCACTTTAAAAAGATTCGATCAGGGAAGAAAAACCACTATGCATGATATGGAAGTAGAAATTTATTATAGGAATTGGAACTTGCACAATTGTGGGAAGAGCAGGGAAGGTAAAAATCTGAAAAGTAGAGTTAAAACGATAGAGAAAAGCCACAGACGACTCAGAACTTGCAGTGATTCCTGGGAGCCAGCACGTCCTGCTGCCGGAGCGGGAACTCAAAGCCTACGGAAGGTTGTTGGTTCTTCATGTCTATGGCCTCTGTGAGTTCTCGGCAAAGCATCTTGTAGAAAGCCTGGTAGAAGACCTGGGACAAGGTCAGCATCAGGAAGGAGCGGGGAGTGAGGACAAACAGGAACCTGCTAACACCTCTGTGTCTGTTTCTATCACCAACAGGTGCCGATAACCTTCAGAACATGGCAGCTGCTTCCCTTCTGCCTCCCAGAACTCACAACTTCCCTTTGGACCAACTCCAATCTGAAATTATGTAGAAAGGGAGAGTCTGAAAAACATAGTCCCAAACATAACCAAGTAGACAAAAGAACAATCTGGCACATTGATTGTTATTTTGACATAACCACCTGATCACCAACAGCTCATTGTAGTCAGGTGCAAGTAAATATCTCACCTCAAATGCAACAAGTCCAAAATGAATGCATCATAGTGTCCCAGGCTTCCACTAAATAAAAACAAATAAATAAAACAAACGAAAAGCAATCTTTTATCCCTCAGCTTTATTAATGCATAATTAACAAATAAAAATGGTATATATACTTATGGTGTACATCGTGACGTTTCTGTCTGTGTATACAAAAAGCAATCTTTCTGAGTAATGCTCAGTTACCACTACCTTTTTTTTTTCTTTAAATTATTATTATACTTTAAGTTCTAGGGTACATGTGCATAACATGCAGGTTTGTTACATATGTATACTTGTGCCATGTTGCTGTGCTGCACCCATCAACTCGTCAGCACCAGAGGATGTGGAGAAATAGGAACACTTTTACACTGTTGGTGGGATTGTAAACTAGTTCAACCATTATGGAAAACAGTATGGCAATTCCTCAAGGATCTAGAACTAGATGTACCATATGATCCAGCCATCCCATTACTGGGTATATACCCAAAGGATTATAAATCATGCTGCTATAAAGTTACCACTACCTTTAAGTGATCCTGTGTATTCCACACCCTAAATGTCCATCTGACCTTCCTCACTGCCCTGTATCCCAGCAGTCACTGCCTTCTATCAAGCTTTCCTCTTTGCTCTCCTGCACTAATAAAGTGCTCCTCTCTCTTGCCACCCTGCCTCCAATCTTGCCCTGCTCCAAACCTTCCATTAAACCACAGAAATCTTTCTAAAATGTACAATTCTGCTTATTTTACTTAAATTATTTTAGTGACTCCTTATCACCCACCATATACATCTTTCTTGGTGTGATATGCAAGACCCCTTGTATATATTCTGACCCCCACTTACATTTTTAGCCCCATGTCCTGTCCTAATCCCAAACGCATTGTGCCCCAACTATTTTAAACTATTTGTAAAACCCTGAATATATGATTATGTCAACACAGGAGTCTGTGTGCTTTCATCCCCTTGCAAATACAGTTGCCTGACAAACTCCTTCTCATCCCATAGGATGTGACTCAAACGTGACCTCCTTTGTGGTATCTTCCTTGTCTCCTCACCTTCTCCCAATCGCCAAAGTCAGTCCATAACATTTTCCTAATAGTGGATAGCATGTGCCATGCTGTACCAGGTCTGCTGATTTACATGTCTGTCTTCTGTGCTAGCTGTGAGCTCCTCAATGTTAAGGACCACATCTCATTCATCTTTGTAGTCCCAGACACTAACACTTCCCAGGTGCATGGTAGGGGCTCAATAAACCTTTGGTTAAGAAATTAATTGATGAATTACAAGATCTGACATGTTTAAATATTTTATTCCATATTTATAGCTGCTTCCATACAAATTATGATTTCCATAAAACACAGGTTTACATTTACCAAAAAAAAAAAAAATTAATTTGGGAGTAATCCAATAAATGTACATGGCTAAATATTGAAATTCAGTTTAAATCTTGAAATGCCCTTAAATCATATGATCTCATTGATCAGATTAATAAGATTATTTCTAAATCTCAATTTCACCGGTGATGTTGAAACATATTTTTGACCTGCCATCGGAATACAGAACAACAAAGGAAACATCTGGTTGTTCTTAACTTTGGGGAGACAAATCCATTTGTTAACAGTAGCAATGGGAGAGCTGACAGAACCTGATAACAGCTCCAACACGGGGAGCTCAGCCCACAACAGATGGACCAGACACTTCACGGAAAGCTTTAAAAAGATGTCTTTTCTAATTCAGGTTATACACTCCTTGAAAGTTCCTTCAACATAAGCACGAAAGTTCGCAGATGATTTTATCAGATCTGACAGCTTTTTTCTAGAGGTTAGTTTGCAATTGCCTCTTGGGGATAGTTTGGTTGAATTTCACTGGATTTTGTAAGTAAAGGCAGGAATGTTTCTAATAGGTCAACAAACTGAAAGTCCTAAGCAGTTTACATCACTGCCAACTTTCTGAGTGCAACCTTTGGCTGGTCACAGTTTGTGTTCTTTTTTTTTTTCTTTTTTCTTTTTTTCTTTTAATAATTCTTCATCAGCTAACCAAGGTTAATCCAGAGTTATTGCCATTTCTTCTATGTGTTTTGGACTAGATTAACAGTAATTATGTTTAGGCTCTAAGATTGTTAAAGAAAAAAAAAAAGAAAGAAAGAAAGAAAAAGAAAGCTCAAACCCTGGCCAGTACAAAATTGTTGAAAAGCATTTTAATACAACTATCTTAATCATATTTCTAAATATGTCAGTCATATATAATAGTTACAGTGATTCTAATCAACTTTCCAAACATTCTATCCCTTTTCAATGCCATAAGACCTATATATTCCCTCTTAAACTGTTAAGTTTTATAGCCATTTTTAAATTGTCTAATTTACTTTTGGACTCACCAAATAAAAGATCCCTAAGTTGATTATTAAATCATTCCTATTGGAATAAAATAAAGAATTTAATAATATTTGGACAAGGCAGTAGTTAATAAGAATCACACACTGAAGTATTTTCTAATATAATGTCCCCTTACATATACTACAATTAGTAAATTGTTTGGTATATTGGCTTTAAATGGACTGGCTTCAGTAAAATTGTGGTTGATACTTAATATATTTTTAAATTATTTTCATGAGACTTTGGAACGGTTTTCATAGCTGAAGAAACTGATCCACAGGGGTTAAATACCAAAGTACACATCAAGTTAGCCATAAAACCTAGAATTGCAGTAATTACACAAACTCACACACTCACAGACACGTTTTTAAAACTCCATCCTTAATGAAATGCTGATCGATGAAAAAAAAAAGCACTTTATTTTTCTTGGCGCATTATTTTCCAAGATAGGTTATTTCGGTGCCAAAGTTTAAATTAATGGATGGACTGGATAAGGTAATTTGGAAATGATGCTATACTATGCTGTATAAAAATGAAAATTTTCTTCCCCAAAATTTACCACAAGGTAAAAGACAGAGAAAGAAAAGAAAAATAAACGAACATGACTTTGGAGATGGAGGCATTGATAGGTCAAAGAGTTATGAAAGCAGCCTTCCAGGACTTTTTGGAAGTCTTGGCCTTAATTTCTCATCTTCTAAGAGGACAGAGACTCTCCAAAATACCCTTTCTTAGGACTTCTCATTGCCTGTCATCTGGTTTTTCCTTTCTTTCTCACATTCCCTAGGTTCCCAAAGGAGAGCTCAGAAATTGTGAAAACAGAGGCACTAGAGAAGGAACATTCCAGTCCCTATTAACATCCCACAGGTCGGAGTCCTAGGCACCTACAGCCCACAACTTAGGCCAACTTGACTGCCCAGGACACTGGCTGTGACCTGTGCAGTGTTCTACAGATGGACAGCATGGCACCTTTGGCCTGCACGGCAACATCAGTCCCCAAGGATCAAGCCAGAAGAGAAGTGGCCATGCCTTAGGATGTGGCTGACTTTGTAGACAGAGAAGGAAAATGAAAGAATGCCTTAAGTTCTACCTCTCAAAAAAAAAAATAAATAAATAAATAACTTTTGGGTACTAGGCTTAATACCTCGGTGATGAAATAATCTGTACCACAAACCCCATGACACGAGTTTACCTATATAACAAACCTGTGCATGTAACCCTGAGCCTAAAATAAAAGCTTAAAAAAATATATATGTCTACTGCTCCCAGTTAAATGACTGCCTCATTCACTACAGAAGCAGAGACAGTTTAAAATAATTATAATGGAGGCCGGGCGTGGTGGCTCACGCCTGTAATCCCAACACTTTGGGAGGTCGACGCAGGTGGATCACTTCGGGTCAGGAGTTCAAGATCACGCTGGCTAACATGGTGAAACCCTGTCTCTACTAAAAATACAAAAATTAGCATGGTGGCGGGAGCCCGTAATCCCAGCTACTCAGGAGGCTGAGGCAGGAGAATCACCTGAACCTGGGAGGCAGAGGTTGCAGTGAGCTGAGATCACACCATCGCACTGCATTGCACTGCAGCTTGGGCCACAAAGCAAGACTCCATCTCAATTAAAATAAATAAATAAATAAATAATTATAATGGAAGTGCAGTCATTCTGGAATGACACAGACTTAAGACAGCTGTGTGACTTTGAATAGGTTACATGATCTCTCTGAGCCTCATTTCCCTCAATGTAAACCGAGAAGGATGATACCTATTCTGGAGATTTTTTTTAATGAGGATGTTAGCAGAGCTCCAAACTCATGATGAATACATGGTACACATTTAATAAATGAGAGTTAAATTCATTATACCTTTGCCTGATTTTCGGAGAGAGGTCATAAGCTGGATGTGAAAATGAACCAAATCGCTAACAGAATTGCAGCACCCTGTTGGAGATGGTAATATATTTTTAATTTTTCTGTCTACAATTTCCTAAGTCTTCTAATTAACATTGTGATACTTTAGCTTGTAGCCTAGCAGTCTTGTTCTTGTCCTCAATGTTAAGTATGCTCAGTCATATTTTTAGATAACTTAACATTGCATATTTATTTTTAGAGAGCCCAGCCACACATAAATGACCAATATAAATCAACATAAAAGCAGTTCATATCCAAAGTGCCCAGTTTTAACCCTCTGTAGCTGGCAGTTCCATTTTTTAAGGCAAAGTTTCCTAAAGTGTATAATCTATAAAACTAATTTTATAGGAAATTGACACTGAAGATATTAAGAAAAATCAAAGCACTCTGTGGTCAATTAAATTGGGGAGATGGTAGGGTAAGTAAGCAAAGTTAAGAAGGTTTTTTTTGGTTTTTGGTTCAGTTTTGCTGTTTTGTTTTATCACATGAATTTTCAAAACCTTCAACATTTGAATGTACATGACATAGCTCTGAAAAGGTAATAGGAGTCCTATATTTCCAAATTTTATTTGTGCTCAGAAATGATATTAGGTGCGATTACTTGAATTCTTCTATTGTCTTTTTGTAGAGACATTTGCTATAGGCACAATAATAGGGGTGATGGGGCAGGAGGAAGGGAAAAACAGAGTGAGAGAAGGCGTTTCAGAGCAACTACTCTTTAAGGCAGGGATCACAGATCCTAATGCCTACAGGAGAAAGTGAC